AAAAAAAAAAAGTTTGAGAAGTGAGAGGGTTGATATGTTGTGGGGTTGTTAACCAATGTCATAAAACAACGTGTGTACTTCTGTTTCATGAGAAACTATTTGTTTTGTAAGCCTTCACCTGAAGTACAATAAAATAAATAAATAAATAAATAAAAATAGTCTAAAAATATTTAGTAGATGTTTTGTTTACCCAAGCTGTTTTCTGTTTTGGGATGGTTCATTGGACTAGATTTAGAAGACCTTGCTTCACTTGTTGATGCAGTTAATCCGCTGATCTGAGAGCTAGATACATAGCAACTGAGAGGCATTTCATGGGATAAAGACCGTGAAAATGGCAATGTTGTGGCATCTGAAGATAACCGTGTTGGAAAAAAATGGACGAAAGATCGCTGTGTCATTGATGAGGAAGCTTCCTGTTTGTCTTCTGTTCTGTGTACAAAAAATATTATAATAAACAAAGTAAGAAAGTCAAGTTGAATAGACTCTGAAAACAAGAAGCACTGGTATCAGTATTACTTAGGGTTCTGCTTTTCAAAGGTATTATACATCTAACACAGGCACAATAACATATTTCTAATTTTAATAAATTAATTAAAACACTTTAGTGTCAATTTATTACATTCTTTTATTTTCTCTTTTTCTATTTAAAAAGCAATAAATTCTTATGTAGGTGCTTTTGAAAATGTGTAAAGTAGAAAGAAGAGAATAAAAATCACTATAATGCAACCAACCTGAGATTTCCACTATTTCCTCCCAGGCTTTTCCATACATTTTCTACTAAAAATTAAGATCCTACAAACTATTTTATATCCCACTTTTTCATTTTATCATACTTCCCCTTTTCATTAATACACAAACATAATTTAATTCACATTCAATATATCATTCTTTAGTATACCTTTTTTTCTTCAATTCGTGCTATATTAATAGATTCTAATGTCTGCTTTTAAATGACCTCTGCAAGTTAACATCTATAAATACAGTACACATGTGTATACCTATGGGTATGTGTGTATGTTGAAGGGAATGGCAGGTAGGAAGGAGAAGAAAGACTTAGTTTCCAGGTACTATTTTTAAAGTGAATCTTACCATAATCCAAGATTTTCCTTTTTTTTTTTAAATAAATGTAAAAATCTTTGCTAACTAGTGCACAATGATTTGAACAATGTCTGTAAACTAGTGTGCAGTTGTTTTACAAGTTAAACAGTATGCTCATGGCATGGTCCGTGAGCGAAAAGACTTAGACAACTCATTTTATGGTGGGTCACATGAGGCTCTTCCCAGTGATTGCAGAAATTCCTGTGTGCGCACGCGCATGCGCACACACGCGGATGTATGCATGTACGTGTATTGTGTGCATGTGTGTTTATTTTCAATGTTTGAATCGTGTTTAGCTCTTTGAAAAAATGGACAAATGGCTAGCTCAACCACCTCCTTTATAGAGGTCATATCTATGCACTCTAAGTCAGGAGCTAAGTATTTTGCTTCCGTTAATTGTCTCTGTTTCGATCTCTTTGCTTTACAAGAAGTATTCACAATCATTTTGTTCTACAGTTTGGAAGTTCCTCCATCAGAATTCTTTTATCTGGAGACCTTCGTACTTGACACTATCTCAGGCAATTTTTTTTTTCCATAGAATTCAATGGCACGGGCTTTGAAAATTTCATTACTGCTAACGCAGCGCTTATTAAGCTTGCTACTTAAGACCTATGTTAAAGCATTTCCCTGAAACGCCCTAACCAAAGAGTACAAGCATTTACCATTCTTCTCACACCGGAAGCACTCATATTTGTCAGGAAAGCCCTAACTTATGAAGACACACTCTTGAGTATGACTGCGGTGGTAGTGAGAAGGAGACTAGAGAGGCAGATTGTCAAATCACAAAGGTTTCAGCCCTGTCCAACCTGAAACAGGATCGTATGACATGACTTCTCTCTGACACTGGTGACAGACAGCAAGCAGGAAAAGTGCTTTTCTCTTTCAAAGTTCCTCACATCTGGGTTTCATTACAGATAAACACACTATATTTTTTCAGCATGTTCATTTTACAAGCCCCATTTTTCCTTTCTGTGGTAAAACAAGAGTGTTTCCAGATAAATTTAACTCCACAAAAAATTCCCCATAAGCCTTCACAAATGTTGTGAGCAAAGAAGTCTGGCCCAGGGCTATACCTGTTGCCAATGAGTCAATTCCACCTCATAGCGACACTGTAGGACAGAGTAGAACTGCCCCATAGAGTTTCCACTGCCCCACAGGGCTGGTGGACTCCAACTGTTGACCTTGGTTAGCAGCCAAGCTCTTAGCCACTGTGCCACCAAGGCTCCTATAGGATATTCTTTTTTTTGCAGTTGAATAAGAATTTCTGGTGACTGCACACACCTTTGGAGGAGTTGAAACATTTCAGGAACAGACTTGCCTGATGCAGCCCAGAATTTGAACCTTACTCTTGTTTAACTAATAGACTCCTTTGGGAAGACGAGAGATTTTTCCTAGTGCTTAGTTAGCATTTCCTTTAGCATAGGGATTTTCCAAACTTCTTGGTAGTTTGGTCCCTTTGTAACTGATTAGTACTAAACCAGGTACAGTCATAAAAGCTCAATTCCAACATTTCAGTGTTATACTGGGAGATGCTACATTGGTAATACTGACAATAATCATTTTTCTGAGATGACTTCTGAGATCAAATACTATAGGATGGACTTAGACTGAAAAGTAACCACAAAATATCTAGGTCCAAAAGTAACAATAGCTTTAAAATTACGCATACTCAATACTAGAAGTCACTTTTTCGAAAATACTGGAAAAACCAATGCTAATGCTTTAGTTGATTGAATGATTTACATTAGTATTAACAACAGTGACTTGTCTTTTTTTTTTAACATCCTCACAGACGTTTCCAAAACCAAAGTTCTCTAGTAACTTTCTCTCCCAAGGTTAGTAAAGTAGTTCTAAAGAAATTGTCTGCAAGGTGCCTTAACACGTTAGATGTGAGATTTGAAATCTCTACCAGGTCTGATATGATGGAGGTCTGTCTTGGTGAATTTTGTTCACTGGGATCTTATAAAAGGGACTGGGAGCTTATAAAACAGTGCTGAAGAAATAGTTCATTATTTAAAAAAATTTTGGAATTGATTTTAACCACTCCATAAGATGCTTCAAAGCAAAACAGGTCAAATACGCCATCATTTTCTCTCTAAAACTCAGACCTTCTTATTTCTGCCATCCGTACCGGGTTTGTTTCTCCATTTTATCTTCCTGCTCAGGAACTTCACTGTGTTGGGTTGCCGAAGTTTTCTTAACGGCTTGTCTCTCTTTCATCTTGACTAGAAGACTCCTTTCTTTCCCAGGAAAGTAAATCATGGCATTAGATAGTGAATATAGCTAAGGTTCAAGGTAGATTTTAAAGTGACCTTACCTGTTAATCGACTACCTTCAGCCACCTGCCAGATTTAGTGATTCCTTTACCAAGCTGGTGCCAGATTCTAATGTTGACTATGGAAGTACTGACATGGTTCTTGATATTGGCTAAGGATGTTAGATGAACCAAAATGAAGGTGTGTGGCATTCACTGCAGGCAGTTCAAGAGGCAGCGTGGTAACCCAGAGAAGCTGTTATGACCACAACTTTCTCATCTGGGCAACACTTCCTGTTAGAATGCTATGAGGTAATGTCTCCATAGTTACAAAGTTCCAGTCTCTGAACAGTTACTATGTTGATGCTGCACCTGTTTTGCAGTTTTCTGACAGTAAAGAATGTAATTTCTTTTTAGGAGAGCCAAGTCTCCCACCAGACAGGCTTTGTCACCAAAATGTTTGATACCGGATTTTGGATTTCTGAGGGCCAAGGGTAGTATGTCACTGCTGGGGGAGTTCATCACAGCTGTCATTATTTCTCTCTTTCTTTCCTTCCTTCTTTCATGAATGCTCTTTGAACGCAGAGAAATAGCTTGGTGGCAGAAATATTAGACTTACAGATATTTAAGACAAAAAAGAAACCTATTGGTGGAAACGGTGAAATCAAAGCCAGGAGACGTAACTTCTTCTGCTACTTCTGCCAGTAGTGTAATTTAGAAGAAACCACTTAACATCTCCATAATTCAGTCTCTTCTTCGTACAAAAGACCAAACCCTAATGCTTGTTGATGATGGTGGTATGAGACTAAAGCTAACAGATATGAAAGTACATGATTCTACACAGTAATAAGACACATTAGTGAAGGTGATTACTGGATGAGTGAGTTCATTCAACAAATATTTAATGAACATCTACTATGTACCAGGAATTGGTTATTTGCTAAGAATAAACAATTCCTGCTTTAAGGAATAAAGGAATAATGATAAAAAAATCTTCCAATCTGGACTTAAAAATGGCTTCCACCTTGGAATAAAGAACAGTATTTAAATACAAAGAGCAATGAACAAAGTAATGGCTTTAATAAATCAAAAGAAAAAGTCAAGAAGTGTACATATAATGAAGCAATTGAACTACAGATGAGTAAATATTTTACTATAGTTTTTCCATCTCAGAGATGTAGCACAATTCCTTATCAGTCTATGGTCCAATTATGAAAATGTAGCATCAAGAGATTTGTAATTTCATACTTATATTTAGAAAATAATTAAAAATGGATTTATAATTTCATGTCACTATCCCAGTTTCCCTAATTCTCCCTGTCTGGATGGCTTCCTAGCTGTTGAAAATTTCCGTACTTGAGCTATATATATTGGCATAAAGTAATTATGACCTCATTTGTTTTATCAGAGAGCCTATTCATATTTTCCAACATAGTTTGAAGAAACAAAATTCTTTCTACCGAGAAAAACTTTGGAAAGCTTTGAATTTGTGAATGTTTCAATATTCATTCCTCATACAGGATATTTTCCTTATTTCCTTTCCCAGAATTCCAGCATATACACAACTAAAACCAATTTCCTCTTTTGCTGCTGCTTGAACTAAACCTGTGGTTTTCAGCAGGAGACAAAGTGAACGATAGGGGTATAGGGCATTTTGTAAACAGGAGGGCACACTAATAGTAGTCATAATAATTTGGGTGAGGTGCTACTGGCATTTAGTGCTAGACTTTCTGCAACGTGGCAGATAATCCTACACAGCAAAGAATTTTCCCATGGAACACATGATTGGCCAGACATTCATGTAGGTGAAAAATAGTATATAATTATTTGAGCCTAAAGCCTAGCCCCATATTACAAGTAAATATAAAATATTTTTGCACATTTTTAATATATACAGAATTCCCAGGAAGTGACAGTTGTTGAAATTAAGGGAAGATTGTATACTGATCAGTTCTGACCTTTACCAAGAGTTGTTCATCAGTTTGGAAAAACTGCATCATCAATAGCAAGGGCACTTGGTAATATTTGAATAGTTGACATAACTTACCTTAAATAGATAACAACAACAGCAGAATCAACCTTAATCTGATGAATCCTCTATTTTATATAGAATACAGAGGACAGAAAACAAAACATGTTATATTATAGATAAAGATATTTTTAAAAATGCCCTTTACAATTTGTGGATATAATTTATATCTAAGTCAAGCCAACTATAAAAAAATGTATTAGACGATTAGAAATTTAAACACACTGGATATTTAATATTCTTAAGGAATAATTGTAAATATTTTAGGTGTGATAATGCTATTGTGATTTTATATGTGTGTATATATATATACATATATATATAAAAGTATGTATTTAAAGAGCCCTTGTCTTTTAGAGGTACATATTGAAACATTCATAGATAAAATGTTATGTCTAGACTTGCTTCCGAATAATAGAGAGGTGGTGAGTGGATGAGGATGTAGATGAAAAAAGTCATGAATTGAAAGTTGTTGAAGCTGGTTGATGGGGACATGCGGCTTCATTATATGTCTTTTATTTTTTTGGTGGTAAATGTTTGAGATTCCACATTCTAAAAAAAGTTAATGGTGGGGCTCATTTTGGTACACATAAGCTTCTTACCCTGATCACATTATCATGGTGGCTGTCTCTATGCTCAGGAAGGATAGGTTCAAAGAAGAGCTGAAAGGGAAAAGCAATCACACTTATTGCTTATGAGGTACAATGGTCTTTACACAAGTTACCTTACAGCAGCTCTGGGAGATGGAGAATTTTCCCGCTTTCCAAATGAGGAAGTGAAAGTTCAGAGAGATTAAATACCTCTTCCCAAGGTCATCCAGCCAGTCAGTGGCAGAGCCAGAATTTGGTCTCACATACATCTGTTACAGAGGACCGGTCACTACCCTACCCCTGTTTTTCTGTTTTAATTTCAGTCCAACATCTTCCTATGTCCTTTCATGGTAATTGCCTATATTCACCCAAACATGAACCACCTTTGTCCTAGTCTTTCTCTCTGCTTTGGTCCCAAATCACTTTTTCTCACAGCTTCCTGACCCTGTGCCAATTCTTTCTTTTGCATTACCCCTGGTTGGGAAAATAATAGAATTATGTATGGAGAATTGAAGCCCTAAAAGAATAAAGATAGGTTAAAACAAGGTGATGGAAACTGAGCTTTTACCTTAGGAAATGATTAAAATTAGCAAAACATCATATTTTGCAATTTTAAAAAAACAGGCAAAATATTATATGTTCACAATTTTTAAAGAGCTGAAAACCACAAAGAACTGGCTGTATGCATTCTATGCCTCTGTCTCCACATATGGAGAACATTTGCACAGCAGGGGACTTTATTAAACTGGTAATATAAATAAAATGTCTTGCATGAATGAGGGCTGTATATATAAAGAGAATTTTCCTCCTCTCTCAGGCCATGGGAATTTCCAAATTGAGTAATATGCAGTTGAGGATTACAATTTAAAACATTATGACATGTTCCATTATCTAAGAGTCAAAGAGTTTGTATATATAGGAATGCAGTTTCATATTTACACCCACATAAATGTAGAACAAGTTCCTATTTAGACTAACATCTTGCAAGTCTAAAAATGTACTGGGTCATTTCATTTTCTGCATACAGATCCACAAACAAATAAAACAGCCTCAAACACAGATACTAATATTTTTCCTGGAAGTCAAGGTCACATTAATGTCTTACTAAAGGTGTTCACAGAGAGGCTAAAGAACCCTTCTTGGGTGATTCAAGTTTCATATTGTTCATATAACCTTCATGGGCTTTGTCAATCATGAAATTTTATTATAAAACCACACTAAGGTCTTAGACGTGCATTTGTGATGCTCAGTGTCAAACACTGGTTTGAATCCTGGGACATTCATATCAGTTTCAGCAACAGTTCATAAATAACCACATAATTGCTTGACACATAGGTTACATGTAATTTAGGCTTAAACTTTATCCATGCATCTTTTCTATTCGTGCTCGTTAGAGAAATATAATACTTATTATTCTAAGAGAGGGCATCTTGTACTTGTTCAAGGGGCAGAGATCCAGAACATATGTTATTTGTGGAACACCATGTTCTTCTTTGTAGAATATTTAAAAAAATTACAAATCAATATGTTTTTATTTCACCTATATGCTATTGTTTGTATTAAATATTTTTACTAGCCAAAAGAACTCTACCCTATATTATTTCTACACCATATAAACTCACAACTACCAGCCCCATGTCTGAAAACAAATGCCCAACAAACTGTTGAACCAAGAGCAAGTGTTTTGTTTTTAGTTTTCCTACTGATAGGAATTTGCAATTTCATTTTCTTCCAGTATCCGCTGGCAACCTCTAACAGAAAAGTTATGTCTGGAACCAAAGACTTGTAAAGTATCATTGGAGAATAGCTTAAATTGAGAAAATTCTATATATTAACTTTCTTTTCTCTGTAAACAAGGTAAAAACCAAAACCGACCCGTTGCTGTCGAGTTGATTCTGACTCACAGCGACACTACAGGACAGGGTAGAACTGCTCCATAGGGTTTCCAAGGAGCAGCTGGTGGCTTCAAACTGCCAACCTTTTGGTTAGCAGCCAAGCTGTTAACCACTGCACCACCAGGGCAGTCATTATTCACTGTTGCAGCAGAATTCTCACTCTTTCTAGCTGATGAAACATTAAGACCCCACAGGAACACCATGTGAGAGCCACTGGATTAAAGGAGTTAAGTGTTGTTAGCAGTCCGAGCATGAGCCCTGTCAATGGCTTTGGGCACAAATACAAAACTTCACAGAACCGTGCCAAGCTCAGTGTAGAAGCACATCCAGGCGAGGAGGGGCCTCAACCCTGCCTTCTCTTCCTCGAAGGTTATACACAGAAAACATAATTAATCCGTGGTTACCACTGTTGGCATTACTCATTACTGGCGGTGGCAATAAGTGTTACAGTTCACCAAAGGTGGGGTAAATCCCATGGTATTATCCACATGAACAAAGCTGCTTTCCTTATTCTGTGGACAATTCGAAGTGTAAACAAATTCAAGTTGGTAAATTGAAGCTTTTCCCCACATGTGCAAATGAGAGAATAGAAGCTGGAAAGATTATAAGGACCTCATGAGCCCTGAGGTTTGAGTTACGTCTTCTGCAAGAAAAAGACACCTCTAACTTTCACAAGGAACAGAAAAGAGA